TTCCTTCTTCCTTTTTTGTGGTGCTGGGGATCATACTGAGACCTTGCACTGGCCAGGCAAGTGCTTAAGCTGTTGAGCTATTTCCCAGTTCCCTAAATTTCTTAATATAAGATTCTTTTTATGGGGTGGGGAGCAGTACTGCAGCTTGAACCTGGGGCCTTATGCATGGTCAGCAAGTATACCACCACTGAGCTACCTTGCTATGTAGGAATATGTTTTTTTTAATCTGGTAGGTGTATCTTAACTGTTAATCTGCATGTACATTTTGCGTATGTCTGTATCTTCCTTATATATCTGTATGTGAATCCATATACCTGTATTTATATCTTCCAGCGGGTAACTGAGCACATTTTGAAACACTTCCAAGTAGTAGCCTAAGCTAATGTTGAGTTAGAGTTAGTGCTCTTTTTAAACTTGAAATATTGAAAGGTATGAAGAAGCTCACTCGCTTTTTTTTTTCTTTCTTTTCTTTCGTACTGGGGATCAGGTGTATAAAAGTTAGCTCAGAATCCTGCTTATTGTAGTCATAGGTCAGTTCTCACTGAGTGGCCTGCTTTGATTTTTTTTTCCCCATTGGTGAATGGTTCTTTTTTATTTTAACAAATTTCAAGAACTCAAACAGTTGAAAATTGTGAATCTGAAAATCTAAATGACTGTCTGCTTCCCTCCCTCCTTCCTTTCCATCTCTTTCCTTCAGATGTAGTCATAGTATTGTATTTTAGTACAATAATTCTAACTTCTTTCCCAGATTTCTGTTGAATGTTGTTCTCGTTAATGAAGCCAACATCATTCAGTGTTTTTCCTTGGTGTAGTTCACAGTACTTCTATGCATTGTAACAGCATAGTCTCATTATGGCTTCTTTGTTCTTACCTTTAACATGTTAAAATAAACTTGAAATGTTCAGTCATGTATCTGATATTTTAATTTGTTGTTAATGATATATATTTGGGATTGAAATCTTGCTGTATCCCAGACTGGCAGTCACTGTTAGCCTCCGTGCAGAGCAACTCAGCCCGAGCAGCTTGCAGACGCATGTAAAGCACTTGCGCTCTCAGACCAGGTTGCCTACTTTAAGAGTTCATGCTTGCAGTGTGAATCTTAGCATTTTCCCACTTTCACCCCATGCCAACCTTTCTTCTTTTTGTCTCGTTGTTCCTCAGTGTACTTTTATCCTGTTAATGAGTGTTAGATGAAAAAACAAAAGATAATAATGGGTTAAATTTGTGTCCTTGAAGCTTTCATGGTAATGAAAATGGATTTGGAGATATGGGAGGCAGGATAGAGAGAGAACAGTGAAGGACAATAATAATATGCTGTAGAGTGGTCCTCTCCACCCAACAAAGATAAATTTATGGGAACCAGAATAAAATACTTTATTAGTCATATGTGATTTTTGCAGTTTATGAAAACTTAAAGGCAAATTCTGTATGCCATTCCAAGTATATTTCCAGCACGCTGTTCAATTCATCTTTTTTTATGTGTGCTGGGAATTGAACTCAGGACTTTCAGTTGGCAGGCAGGTGCTGTGCCACTGAGCTACATCCCTCACCCCTCAATTCATCTTTGAATTGTGGCACTTCGCTTTTCTCAAGGGTCTTTCATCCCAGGGCCTCAAGTTTAGGAAGTTTGTAGTTTGAACTAGGGAAATGAAAGGAAATTTCCTCAAGTAGCTTCCGTTTCCTGACCTAATCCCAGCCTTAGACCCCCGGGCCTCATATGCTCATATGAGGTTAGTCAGCGTGCTCTCTAAGAATTTTTTTCTGGCTTTTTGTTGAAGCCCCTAAGAAGAACTGCACTAAAAGGGACCAGGTAATGGTAGCTTCTGACTTGAAAACCAAACAATTCTGCTCTTCTCTCTAGACTCATTATTATCTATATGAAGTGTAATTCTCTTAAAAGTTGGCAGGGGCCAGCCAGATAGCTCAGTGGATTAAAGAGCCTGCTTAGGCAGATGCAGGGACTGGGGTTCAAAGTGCGCCTGTAATCCCAGCATTTGGGAGGCTGAAAACAGGAGGATTGCTATGAGTCTGATGTGTGTAGTGAGACCCTGTACTAAATGCATTTTTTAAAAAAAAGTTATGCATGCTGGAGATATAGCTCAGTGGCATAAGTGGCTCACTGGGCAAGCGCAAGGTCCCAAGTTCAATCCTCAGTACCAAAAAAAAAAAAAAAAATCTGCTGTCCATTTCACCCCTAGGTCTACTCTGGAAACAGAAATAAATGAGGAACTTAATATGATTGTAGGCAAGGCCGTGGAGAGATGGGAACCGTGTGGGTAGGAATGTGAATGGTATGGCTGCTATGGTGAACAAGACAGCGGCTCCTCTATAAATTAAATGTGAATTAACCATGAGCTCACACAGTTCCACTTCTGAGTATATTAGGGGCCAAATGTTTCTACCTCTGTAAAGTTCATATTGTGAAAGCAGGCTCGGAATGTGGTAGTAGACTGAGACAGGACCTCTTGGAACTTAACTGAGGTTAAACAATGTAGTGCTTTGCAAGAGGTACATAGAAACCTTGTTTGCCTGTCTCTACTTTTTGAGGATTTGGTGAATCAAATCTGTTGGCACTTTCAACTTTCCAGCCTCAGGTACTATGAAGAATAAATTCCTGTTGTTTCATCAGTCCAGTCCCTTAGTCTGCGGTGTTTTGGTGTTATATGTAGTCCAAATAGACTAACATAGATACATGTGTCCAAAGGAATCAAATGCAGTCTCAAAGAGATATTTGAACCCTAACTCTAAACAAAATTATTCATGATAGCCAAAAGGTAGAAGCAATTCAAGTGTCTTTGAGTGGACAAGTCAGTAAGCAAAATGTGATATGCACACAATGGAATAGTATTCGTCTTTCAAAAGTAGAGAATTTGAGTCCATGTTTTAGCACAAATCAACTTTGAGATCCTTATCCTACGTGAACTAAGCCACTCACAGTACTGTATTGTAGCACTTACTTGTGGTACTCACTATAGTTCACTTCAGAGAGGCAAAAGGAGTAGTATGGTTGTCAGAAGCTAGGAGGAGGAAAAGAAAGGGGTTCAGTGGGTATAGTTTCAGTTCTGCAAGATGACACGCGTGGAGGTGAACGTTGGTGTTAGCACAGAAATGCAAATGTATGTAGTGCCATGGAATTGTGCACGGCATGCTGCTCGTAAGGTTTTAGGCACGGATTGCCATGACAGTGTACTGGTAAGTTCAAGATCACGTGGCCTACTGACCTCCGGGCCATCTTAGTTAGGGAAAGTGTATTTGGCACTGGTCATACAACAGCAGAGTCACCCAGCGATACATGTCTTAGACAGCTTCCCCATTGGGAAGTGAAACATGACTGAACTTAAATGTTGAAGATGTTAAATTTTATGTCAGGTGTAATTTATCACATTAATTTAAAGAGGATGTTCTAGAATATGCTTTTGGAGGGACTAGCTGTCTGATTCACTTATTCTGTTATCAGTGTGGCAGTGGAGGGTTATGGGTTGCTCTTGGGGGCATGAATTAGTGTTCAAGTCTTGTTACTTTACTGAATGAGAGGCTATAAGCTATTTATGCAACTTTTTGAAAGTTTTCATTAGTAAATAAGGAGGTTGAAGTGTTTTGGTTTTTTTAAATATATGTATTTGGTACAAGGTCTCATTATGCAGCTCAGACCTGTAGTGATCCTTCTGTTTCAGCCTCCCCAGCACTGGGATTACAGGCGTGTCCTGCCACACCCGGTTTCAGTGGCCAGCTCGGCAGGCCTGGGGCAAGGCCTGCATGGCATGCAATACTGGAGATGGAACCCAGGTCCCTATGCTTGTCACACAGGTGCTTAGACCACTGAGCTATCTCCCTGGGCCAGGAGGTTGGAGTTTAAAGCAGAAAGAAGTTAGTAAGTATGAAATTAGATGGGTGAGTGTCTTTAACAGTTGCACTACTTTTTTTATAGTTCAGGCTGGTGTTGAGCTCACTTTGTAGCCCAGGTTTGTCTCAAACTAGCTACCATCCTCCTCCCTCATCCTCCCAAGTGCTGGGATTACAGGCATGTGTCACCAGGCCCAGACAGTTATACTACTTTTTTTTTTTTTTTTTTAAAGAAAAAATGTTTGTGTTGAAGACAGTGAGAAAATGCAGACATCATCCAGACATTGTAGCGCCTGCTTGTGATCCCAGCACTCCCACTTGGGAGGCTGTTGGAAGAGGGTCACCACACGACAGAGGGCAGGTTGGGTTACATCATGAGAGCCTGTCACAAAAAAACGAGAGAGAGAGAGAGAGAGAGAGAGAGAGAGAGAGAGAGAGAGAGAAAAGAAGGAAGGAGAGAGTAGGACATTAGTCATGTCTATCTCTAGTTGTGTTGTTTAAGCTGTTGAGTTTATAATAATTTGTTTAAACAGCAGAAGAAACTAACATAGCATGGAACTTAATGTCATAATTATTAGTGTTAAAAGGC